CCTTCGGCGCTCGGCAGATTCCAAACTGGCATGGCATATGCACACACCTGAAGCGTTTCAACTGTGGGTCGTCATGAGGAAACAAGCCACCGAATCCATGGCGTGTTTGATCCTCTTTCTCAATAGTACAGAGCTAGCCTGCGAGCCTGCCATCCATGAGAAACACTGCACGATATCTAGAAGCCTAGATGCGAGCAGAGGAACCACAACACCCCCAAAAGACGGAAACGCGCCCGCCCCCAAGGCAGCCTTCACACAACCGTCCCGGGCCTCTCTTGTTTCAAAAACACGCGATCTCCAAGCCCAGGGCATGGTCGCTGTCGTGACTCCAAGATTTCGAATCGGGGAGGCAGAGGGGCGAGGGGCCGGTTTGCGATTGGTGCCATTCGTAACGACGACACGAGCACAAGCGATGCAAATGGCCATGGTCGCTCATGTCAAAGGAACAAAGGTCTGCGTCTCTCTCTCTCTCTCTCTCTCTCTCTCTCTCTCTCTCTCTCTCTCCTTCACATACATACACACACACTCTTTGAATTTTCCCGGGGCCGATACATGGGCAACGAGGTGATGCGTGGGTTGGCTGAATGAACGACCAACTGGCTTGCGTCTGAAACGACAGAAGCGATTGTATACGGGGCGGGCGTTGGGCGACTTATTTCTGTGAATCCATGGGACCAAAAGCGATCTCCTGACAAGGCGTATTCTCCCTTGCTTGCCTGGTGTCGCGAGACAAGGTGCCTGCTGTAACTCGTGGCTATTCAATAGCAAATCTACAACCACCGCCACACAAGGTCAGCGCAAACTCAATTCACTGGTGGTCCATGTTGGAAACACTAGGTGCCTGCTCATGACAACACAGCTCCAAGCACATAGAGCACACCATGACGATAAGGTTCACATGAGAGAGTGCACACGAGACGTTGAATTCATTACGAACATGATAATGTATCAGCTCCGTCCCTCCGCTCCATGACCTCGATGATAAGCCCGAAAGAGCAAATGAAAACGCCAACTCCATTTCCCATCCCCATCCATTGCCATGCTCTGATATACCAGCCCAACAAACACATGGCAAACCAAAAGACAGGAAGAACAAACCCAAAATGCAACACTCTTTTGAAGAATTAGACGAAACGCGAGAAAATAGAACTCAGACGAAAAACCGTGTCGAAATGTGGCCCTCGCCGCCTGTCCGTCATGAGTCGTCATCATGACCGTGTCGACATGAGCGGAGAAACGAGACGTCCTTTCACACGGGATATCACAACTAAGAACAAGAAGAAAGTGCAGGTGATGCGAAAGAATTTGAGAACGAAGAATGTGCTCGCAAGACTCGTTGAGAGCCTTGGTTTGATGCAGCTGGTCACGGAGTTGTCTTCACTCTTGTTGAGATTGTAATGAACCAGAAGCCTTTTATATCGGGGACCTTTCAACTCAGAGACCCGAAAGAGTTGATAGCGGCAGAAATGGCCCACGAGTAATGATGTGAACCTTTTTCTTGGGAGGGGGGATGTGCGTTCTAGGCACCTTCGAGAGGCTGGGCGAATGAGTAGTTGAAGTCTAGCAGGCCGTCTAGCATCCAGTGTTGGGGGTCGAAGAAGTCATAGTTGGTGTTGTCCGTATAATTGATGCCGCTCAAGAGGTTGCTGTTGGTGCCGTTTGTCGCCGCATTGCCGTTCGCACCGGGTGGTGCTGCTAGGCTCGCGGCAGTGGTACCCGGCGTGAGGGCACCATTGGTCGGTGCCAGCATGTTGCCCGATGTCTGTGGCAGATTCTGCGCACCAGCAGTGGCAGGCATGAGTGTTGAATCCATGTGTGTCGATGAAGCCGAAGACTCGTTCGCTGAGTCCGGATTAGTAGGTTGTTTCAGGGCTATTGTGTGCGCGCCTGTTGTCAGTCACCGCAGTCACTCAGAAAGAAGACTTGGATGCATCGAGCCAGCGCACAGGGAAGGGAGGGAGGGGAATAAGGGGGATAGTTACCGTCCAGTGTGCCGCGGCCCTGGGCTTGATAGTCCTCACGCCAGCGCCATACCGAGTCGAACACGAGACTCATGCTGTGACGGCACCGAACCTTGAGCTGCAGGGTGTCATCGACAACAGGTCGGGGCGACACCTCGTCGTTCTTGACAGACTTGATGTCGTGTCGAGCGCCGTTCCACATCTGCACCATCAGCTCGGCGAGCCGAGACTGCAAATCATTGTTGATGACGCTGGTGGCGCGGATGGCGTTTAGTGTCTTGTGGAACAGACTGCGGCTGCGTTCGGCTTCGATAATTTCTGCGAAGAACGATTTGCTCAGCTTGAGAGGCAAATCCTGCCGCGACGAGCATCTGCTGGATATAATTCGAAGCGTAGAGCAGGATGTGGCCAGCCGTGTTTTGACCTGGCGACGTCACCTTGTCGTCCTCGAGAATGTGATCTAGGAAGGCCGTCGTTGCGCGCCAAAGGCCCATCAGATCATCCATGTAGCCCGGAGTGGTGTTGGAGTCAAAGAAACCGGCCAATCGGAGATGAAGAGCTGCGGCCCTGAGATGGAGGTTGACGATGGGCCCGAGATGCTGCGAAAGGATGGAAGCCTGAAGCTCTCCGTAGTCTCGCCGATAGACACGCATCAGCATGGCTCTGTGCTCGTCACCTGCGACGCCGCGCGAGTCGCTGGCGTTGCTGTACATCTCTTTGGACACCTTGTCGCAGAACCTTTCGATCTGCAGCCTCGCCTCGAGAACGGGCGATAGTTTAAAGGGGCCATCTTCGCCTCGTCTCACAGCCAGTGTCCAGTCGTACAGTGTCGACGCAGGCTGGCCGTAGCCTGTGCCAATGGACTGGGCGACAATGTTGCACACGGCCCACGTCGTGACGCGGTCATGGAGCTGCTCCTTGTTCAGGTCGACGGAGACACGGGAGAAGTCCTGGGTGTGGTTCGGGCGATGCAGGCCAATGCCCGTGGCGGTCCTCAGCATGACGCCACAGAGAATGTGTGTAGGATCGGCCGTCGTCGTGCTTGTGGGCAGGGGCCAGGTGCACAACAAGCAGAGCGCCTTGACGACGTAGTAGCTGCTGGGCACGTCGCCGATGGTCTGCCACAGCAGGCGCGTCAATGGGCCCGACAGGGTCGTCAGCAGAGTCGGGTCGGCGCTGTAGCGACGCGCAGCGACGGCGACAATGGTCCAGAAAAGGAGCGAGTGCTGCTGGTAGTACGTGTCGGGCGACTGCTGGGGGTTCAGGAAAGGCAGGTATGGGTGGTAGTAGTTGAAAAACATGTTGAAGAGCTGAGAGACCGAGTCCTCGGTCAAGCGGACGTTCT